TTTATAATTTACACAAGGCAAATACAACATGCCTATATCTATTTTTAAAAAGCAAAGATAGTAAGCTAAACTTGTAAGCCATTAACAAATCTATATACATATTATTCGGAAGCTAAAATAGTCCATTTTCATTTCACCTGTAGTAACTATATTGCAGTAGTATTTAAGTAACCAAACCTCTGACACTGTATATTTGTTCCCATCCATATTTTCCACATTCCATTAAAATTAATTTAAACACACACAAAGAAAAAAAAAAAAAAAGTTCCCTCATTTAAAAAATAGCTCAAGATTATCCCTTCTATATAACATTTTTTCCCCTGCAAAGTGCAAACCATCTGAACGGAAAAAATAAAAACTTGTAATTCTTTAAAAACATTTCCCCCAACTTTGAAAAGTATTCTGGACTTTCCATTTCCTAATTTTCACCCTTTGCAATCTTTCAGTTTCAACACTGCTGCATGAAATACGTTGGCACTAAGAGTTCTGGAGCTCCTAACATTATTAGTGCAAATGCTACATGCACTAACATGTTCTGTAGCACTTAAACCCCATATTCCCTGGCCCCAAAGAGTTAATTACAAAGACTAATCTCCTTGAAGGCAGGAAGTTAAGTATAATTAGATATAAATTTGTTTCAATAATAAACTTCAGCAGTTCTGTAGATTACACTCTCTAAGGACAGTATAGAAAGTATTACAATGTCCTATGTTTAAGTAAGAAAGCGAGTGGTACATTTCAACTTTCAGTGCATTGCAGTTTGAGGTCCCTGTATTTATTTTCTTTAAATCTTTCTTGTAATAAAAAAGCCTCTTATTTTAAAATAAAAAGGAAAAGTAACGCTTACAGCTTCCATTATTTTAACAAAATCCAGTGCTTTCACTGTCAGTGCTAGTTACTTCAGAAAAATACATATACAGTCAGTATAAACCAAAATTATTATTAGGAAGCATCACTTGTCAGAGTGTATATGACATTCTTATTCATATTAGTTTCAGGTGACTAATGAATAGGCTTTATTTACACATACAGTATCCTGGATAATTAGTACAACAGCTATCTTCTTTAGACATTTTGCTTTTTATACACGGATATTTAGGATTTAAGAAAAAACATTTTTTGGTTGTATCAAAAATGGTTCTATTCTTTTGTTGGATGTTTGGGGGATTTATGTGGGTAACACCTACTAAAGATAGTGGTGCCTACACATGTCAATCCTCCATACTTTGAATGGCTAATAGTTCTCAAAATTTATCTTCAACAGATTAAGAGCATTGTATACGTAAATATGTCTGATAAATTTAACAGAAGCCACAGAAACTGAGAAACTCCTTTCACCGTGGGAATAAATATATTTTAATGCATCCCATCAATATAATCAGTCCACTTTACAACACTTTTTATGTATAGCTTCTGTCATTTCTGCTTTGGAATCAGAATTTAAGTAATCTGGCTTTTGGCTAATCGATATAAATAATTTATGAAGCAATGTGAAAAGGGTGGGCCCAGTGGGCGGAAGACCAAAGCTCAGGAGACAATTATTTTCTCCCTGAGACGATGGAACTCAGAAGTATTATTCAAAGGTGCTCCCTTGCCTTGTGGGAGGAAGAGAGAAGAGTTGACAGTTCACGTCAACAGTGCAATTTTTTTTAAACCAGAGAAGCAACATGAAAAGACCTAGAAAAGGTAAGAGGTCTGGGATAAGAGGAAGGGGAGAAAGATTCCCATCAACAGTGACAATACACACAATGTCAATACACTTTTAAAGTTAGAATTGAACCAGATCCAGTTAGAGACAGGAAATAAAAAGAACACCGCTATTTGCTGAACAAAGAGTAACAAAAATAATTTTTTTCATTATTTATCATTCATGATGTAAAAGGCTGTAGGTATACATGACGTGCAAGGCCACTTGAAAAGCTTTTCTCCGTATGTGCTGGCTTTTGGCATCTCCATTTCAAGAAGTTCAGAACATGGATGAGGAGGAGCTGGAGAGAAGAGGAGAATTCCTGCAGAAGTTTATAAGCTCCAAGGATGATAGGAAGACCAAAGAATACATCTGCTATTTCAGTCTTCCCCTGCGTAGAGACTGCTTATCACAACTTGGTTTTGAGATGTGGAAAGAGGTTGCTTTGGGACAGGGTAATCTTGTTGGTTTGGGATTCTATAATTTTAAAATTTGCATAAGCACCTAGCATACGAGGATAGGCACTTTTTAATCAATAAAAACTTAAATAAGCAAACATACTTGGCCAAATAAGGACTAGGATGAGATATGACAGTCATGTTCACTTTGAACTGAGAAAGAATTTGGATGAGTTTGCAGAGATTAATGGCTAGTATATCAAACCAATGTGCAACCCTTAAACCCTGAATGTATACTTTAAAAAGATGGCTTGACTACTTCAGAGAACAGCTGTCATTTTAAGAAGTGAATTACAAGTCTACTTGTCTATTTTTATTTATTTAGGATCCAGTTTTCAAACAGAAAAGGGAACTACTACCATTTACAAAGTCACCCTTTAGAGTAACCAAGATATCTTCTTCCAATCTATACAATGTAAAAAAGAGGAGAACTCAGCCAAATCTTATTTAAAATTCAACACCTGATTCTCTCATCTAGAAAAATCCTGCCTAGAAAAAGTGACATAACCCCATATAAAAGTGTTTTTAAAATGCACACAAATTTCCTGTTTGCTAGTTCTTTTTTCCCTTTTCCTGGCCTAATATCATAAGATATCTTTCCATCATTTCTCAAGTCTAAATCATAACAGCTGAGATTTTTGGATGTAAAATTCTCTGTCCTTTCCTCCATATATCAAATAAAATACTTTGATTTGATAACCCCCGTGTTGTCAATAGAGTGACCAGACAGCAAATGTGAAAAATCGGGACGGGGTGGGGGTAATAGGCGCCTATATAAGAAAGACCCAAAAATTAGGACTGTCCTGACTGGTCACCCTAGTTGTCAATCCTGTATGTTCAAAAATCATGTCAGGCCTCCAAAAAACATGACACTGGCTTAAAAATAATACACTTGAGGTTCTTTTTATTTGCCTTCAGGTTTTTGAGCCTTTAGTGTTCCCTGAGGTTGCATTTTCATGATTTTCTCTGTAACTATGAGGGCTAGCAACTTACTTTTCTTTTAAATCAAAAAACCAAGAGTCTCAAGTAGTCACATGACTCCAGTGAGCTGGGGTTTTAAAACAAAACACCAATTATTGAGAGTTAGCAACACCTCTAAATAACCAAGGTTTGCATTACCTACTGCTAGCCCACAAACTTAACTACGTGATACTGTTCTTGACCTCTTGTTATAGACTGACATTTGTAACCTTCTCAAATGGTGTCTGGTGACCCCGCATTTTGTCTCATGAGACACTCTGGACTGCCAAGTGTTCTATAGTCATATGCTATGCAAATCTACTTTTATCTCCAAACTTAAAACAAAAGAATTTCTCTCACATATTTTCAAGCCTTTGGTACACTCTTCCAATGACATTATGTTTATAATGATCACTGATTACATTGTTCCATGAAAATTATTTTCACTCCAAAGACAAGATCAATACACCCTTCTAAATATTAGTGAATATCAGTAATTTCTCCTATTGTTTGATACATTAATATACTGTAATCCAGGTAATCTAAACCAATCAGTTCAGAATCATTTGTACCATGGCTTGAGCCACTTGCACAAGCCTTTAAAATACTGCTGCTGAACTACAACACAGCTGTGAAATACTGGATCTGAATGCGTGTGTACTGGATTACTCAACTCCACCTTTCTAAAGGCCATAATCTTACCCATCCTTCTTCTAAATTAATCAAGAAATCTCACACCTGTGCTTCTCACAAACTTTTTGCTCATAACAGTGCCAGTTCACAGCCTGATTTCATAATCGGCAATCTAGTGACATATAAGTCCATTTACTCATTATCCTGTTCTGAAGAACAATTTTGTCAATTAGCTACTTTATTAAATAATTTCCTATATTCTGTTGTATAACTGGATTCTACATATACTGGATTGCTGTAAGTAGACCTCTTATCAGTTACTTCTCATTATGATTATAGATGTTCACAGAAGCCACCAAAACATCTCAGCATTGACTTCAGGCTTGTAACCTTTCCAAAAATATTCTTACCTTTCTGTCTGCTTTACATGCTTATAATTTGAGTACAGCCAAATATTACAGACAACAAAACTGGATTATTCTAACCTGTTACAAGCTCTCAGAAACAAACATTCAAATTAAGTGATATTTTTAGATTACAAAGGCACTGGATAACCCACCATGTACAGGAAGACTGTGCATCACTTCCACATCCTTCATGCTCTTCCTATCCATTAACCGTGAAAAGCTCTTGGATGAATGCTGTATGTCTTAATGCACTTAAAAGAGTTATGAATAAAAGGTATACCTGTAATCTGGATGCTAGTTCCAGCTGGATCTGTGAGCTAGTTTCAGTTGATAAGTAAGTAGTGGAAGATTTTAAGGGTTAGATGCACTCCGCTATACCAATGACTTAATTTAGAACCCCCCAGTGCATTCACCTGTGTCTGTCCAAATTACAGAGGCAGTTACTGTACAAAGGACAAACCTGTAGTCCACAATTCAAATCAAAATTTGTTTCACAATTGACAGCCTGGACAGTGAACACATTGCTGTTTTAAGGAAATTAATAGAATTGTTCCATTTGCTTACAATTTTTTTTAGGGCATACACCATTCATGAAAGGTGCCAGACTGAGTGCATTGGAAACTGATGTTCTCTGTCCACAGAACGAGTACATCACAGGCAGTCTAATGTAAAGATTTACTACACTGGCCTGCCAGAATGTCATCAAACCTTTTCTGGATCGATCAGCTTTTTAGGGGCAAGGAGATACATCAGTCTCTATGCTGATTCATTCCTTAGCCTTCCTGCTGAGACAGTCAGCAATTATACCAATTAATGTCAACTTATTATGGTGATTTTGGGTATGTGGATAACTGTCCATTAAAACTGGATGTAGGCCACCAATTCATTTCACACAAGCTACCACTCTCTCAGAGGGTAACGTCTGCCAATCTCAATCATGATGGAATCAGTGACCTAGAAATGGAAGGCTCTGTATCATTCCCTGAGCCATCCAGTTCCCCTCAAATATGATTTTAATCTGTCTTCACATTAGGTTTATTCAAATCCCCAATATTGAAGTTGAACTCCTTGAAGACTTGTATAAGAACAATTCCAATAGATACAGTGATGAATCCACAAGCCATCCCCAAGAAATCTACCACTCCCACATTACTCCACTCCCTAAAAAGGATGGCTGAGGCCAGCAGGACTAAAGTGGTGAACACGACATAGTAGATGGCACCAAACACAGATGAGTCAAAACATTCCAGTGCCTTATTGATATACTTGAACTGAATGATGATGCTACATCCTAACACTGCCAGAAGAACCAAACAGAGGTACAAGGCTCTTTGACTTGATGGATTATTGTGAAAGATATCTTGAGCAGCCAGCCCAATGCCTTTTGTGCTGGGCACAGTGAAACTGCCCAACAGTGAGCAAATACTGATGTAAACCATAATATTAGTGGGTCCATGAGCTGGCGCTATCCAGAAGATAAGCAGGAGAAGCATGAGAAGTACTATGCAGAGGTAGCCCACAAACACTGAAAAAACAAAGAAAACAAGTTAATGGCTTGTTAACGGCAAGGTAGAAACTTTTGCCCCAGGTAATTTATTAGAGATATTTAAGGGCTCAGTCATGAACCCCTAAACATGGTAACGTATAAGGATATGTACACAAAGCTTAGGATCTCCTATCAACTAAAGAACAAAAGCCTTTGAAATTGGTTAAATCAATGTACAGCTCTTTGTGTAAACCAAATAATAATGTATGAATACCAACTGTTTCACACTAACTGGATTTAAAGTTTTTTTTTTTAAAGCTGACATTATATTCCTATTAAAGTCCCCTATGAAGAATGGTTGTGATATAACCACATTCATAACTCTGACCTGAATTCTGCAAAGTACCTAAGCACATACTTAAGTCCCATGAAAGTCAATGGGATGAATAGGACACACTTCAATAGTTAATTTTGGTCTGGTTGGACTATTAAAGGCACAAAAATACTTCCTTTACTAACAATTTTAGGTACACTTTAGATTTGAATTTCAGTGAAACTGAAAATGTTAAATAGTTCTCAGTTTAGCATCCATGAAGCACAGAGAATATGCCAAACAACTAGCAGGTAAGGAAGGGTTCACAAGCAAGTCAGTCCAGTGATTAGCAGGAAAGAAAAGGAACTTCACAACGTGTTTTATTGGCACATTCATATATGCCTTCAGTGTGCAAAAGCAAACATCTACTTGATACATAAGTAATGTATATGTGCACGATCAAAATAGATCCTATTCGGTCTTAAAGCTATTTGGCAACAAGAAGTGCAAGGATTTTACCCACAAAGATTCAATTTTTGTTTAGAACCCCTTAAAGTGAGCTCCTGAAATTACAGTTTTGATTCTTTCCTCAAGAGGAAACTACATAAAACACCTCTTCATCATTATAGAAAACAGGTTACAAGTCCAACTCACAGCCAAGTTGGTTTCTTCACTTAAAAAAAGAAAATAATTTATTTGCAGTTCTTGACTTACCATGCAAAAATGCAATGATTTACATTGTAAGGAAAAACTGAAATGGAGAATTATTTCAAAGCACTAAAAAAAAACCCACTTTTGCGAAGTTGCAATCTTGAAAACTGAGCCTTTATTTCTTCTTTAGATCAGATCCTAGCCCTTGTTATGGCTACTCTGCACCTCCTTGGTGACTCAAAGCAACTGCAACATCAGTTTAACCAGCTAATAGAGGATTCCACCCGCATTGGAGAATCCTTAGGTGGTGCAGAAACTACTACACCGCTCCCTGTGTTCTCAACCCCTTGGTACAGGGGGGCATAACCAGCATGTCTCTATACCCCATGCATAACCAGCATGTCTCTATGCATCCGAACAAGTGAGGTTTTTACCCATGAAAGCTTATGCCCAAATAAATCTGTTAGTCTTTAAGGTGCCACCAGACTCCTTTTTGTTTTTGTAGATACAGACTAACATGGCTACCCCCTGATACTCTATACCCCATTGAGCTCCAGTTTATAGAATGGCCCTTTGTGGCCAGAGGTAGTTGAATACATTAAAGCAGACTAACTTATGCCAGTAACTGGCTGGCTCCTGGACAGCACTAGAAGCAGGAAACTACAAGCACAGACAACCCAGGATCAGAGCCTTCGAATTTGTCTGCTGGCCAGTTTCTAACTCAGGACAGTTTACCACTTAATCCATGACTATTTAGGTTTTTTTAAATAAATAGCCTCATGACAGATGCTGTCAAAAGGTCCATTTTCAGAAGTGCCTAAGTCAAAGGGAGTTAGGCTCCTAATTCACTTAGGCCCTTTTCAAAAAAAATCATATCTATAATTTCTCCTTTATACACTATGTTGTTGGCACACTCAGGGAATTCTAGTACACTGAAGAGATGGTTTTCATGTATAGAAACCATGATGGTTTGTCTCCTTTATACCGTATTTGCCTAGGAATGCAGAAGCCTTAATACCACTAATGTTGCTGCTTTGGGGAAGCAACTGTTCCCTTCAAATAAGTGTTCCTGGACAATGCTATCATAATTTTGAAAGAGAATGAAGTACCTGGATTTGTAAGCTTCTCTTCAAGTTCAGCCTGAGTTGTTACACTCTCAGATTTTGGGGAATGGATTATGAGAACAACAGACCCAGCACAGCTCAGCAGACATCCCAACTTGCCGAGAATGTTGAGTTTTTCTTTCAGTAAGTAAGAAGCTAAAATGGACCTTTCACAAAGTGGAAGAAAATTAAAATTAATCTAAATTATTCATTCTCTTAATACATATCTCTCAGCTAGGGTATTACTTGCCATCCCTTTGTTTATTCCAAAAATAGTCTTCATGTAGCCCATTTATACGCTTCAGCCCTGTCCCAAGACAGGGGAGGAAGGTAGAAAATAAATTCAGTCTTTATGTTCATTGATCTCTCGACCTCTTAGCTGAGAGCACAAGGGGGCCAGGCCAACTGTGAGGCAGACACCTATCCACTGCAATCTGGTGGGAGATTACCAATCCATTTCACATGGGCCACAAGCAGGAAAGAGGTAGCAATGATTTTTGGTCACTAAAACTACAGGCTGGATTCAAACAAGTAAATGGCTCAAACATACAAAATACACTGCTTGTTTAACTCTGTGTGATCAGTACTGTTCAAGGCAAAGGAAGACATGACACCAACCCCAAACATTTTGCAGCCTAAAGTAGATAATCAATGCAGTTCAGATGCATAATTAAGGCTAGGTTTTAGTCACAGGTATTTTTAGTAAAAGTCATGGACAGGTCAGGGGCAGTAAACAAAAATTCACGGCCTGTGACCTATCCATGACTTTTACTATATACCTCTGACTAAATGACTAAAACTTGGGCGCAGGCAGGGCTGAGTGGGGCAGCCCAAGGAACACCGCGGGTCCTCGGGGGGACAGGATGTGCGCGGCCCAAGGGGGGTGCTGCCGTGGGTGCTGGGTGGTGGGGAAGAGACGCGTGCAGCCCTGAGGTGTAGCTGCGGGTACTGCGGGGGGGAGAGGTGTGCATGGCTTGGATGGTTGGGGGGAGGGGTGTTGCGTGCCATGGGTGCTCGGGGGAGGGGCAGCTTCCCTACCTGGCTCCTGGGAAGTGGCAACCTCCAGCTCCTAGCTCCACATGCTGCCTCTGCTCTGCCCCAAGGCCCGGTTCTGCAGCTCACATTGGCTGGGAACTGCAGCCAATAGGAGCTGCGAGGGCGGTGCCTGTGGGCAGAGGCATCATGTGAAGCTAGGAGCTGAGGGAGGGGAGTTCCTGTCACCTTTCCGGGGAGCCCCCCCCTTCCCCAGGTAAGCACCGCCCCAGATCCCAATCCCCAGCCCTGAGTCCCCACCCCCATTCAAACTTCTGATGCTGGGGGGCGGCAGGGCCCGAGACGGCCCCAGCAGCAGCCGGTGTGACTGCTCCCGAGCCAGCTGCAACAGAAGTCACAGAGGTCCCGGAAAGTCACGGAATCCGTGACTTCTGTGACAAACACACAGCCTTTTGCATAATACACCAATTACCACCACCTGATGGAAAAAACTCCAGGGAGTGCACAGTTTTGTTTATTTTTAAATACTATTATTCTTTTATGGTAGTTTAACAGTTACAAGCTGGATACTCTCAAAATATTTAGCTGCGTATTACATTATTTTTATGAATCTTTCTCTTCACACACACACCCCTCACACTGATGCTAATGGCAGGTGTGGCAAGGGAAAAATCTCTTTGTTTGGAAAAATTGGACCAAATTCAATAGGATGCAATGCAATGTGTATTTGAAGTGGGGGAAGTAAAGGAGAGAAAGAATATGAAATAAAAAACAAAAATGGAGGAAATCCAAGCAGCAGCAAAAAGGAAAGGGATCTATGAATGATAAGAGATTAAGCGTGTAGAAACATAAGAACGGCCATACCGGATCAGACCAAAGGTCCATCTAGCCCAGTATCCTGTCTTCCAACAGTGGCCAATGCCAGATGCCCCACAGGGAATGAACAGAACAGGTAATCAAGTGATCCATCCCCAGCTTCTGGCAAATAGAGGCTAGGGACACCATCCCTGCCCATCCTGGCTAATAGCCATTGATGGACCTATCCTCCATCAATTTATCTAGTTCTTTTTTGAACCTGTTATAGTCTTGGTGTTCACAACATCCTCTGGCAAAGAGTTCCACAGGTTGATTGTGCATTGTGTGAAAAAATACTTCCTTTTGTTTGTTTTAAACCTACTGCCTATTAATTTCATTTGTTCTTGTTATGAAAAGGAATAAATAACACTTCCTTATTTACTTTCTCCACAGGAGTCATGATTTTATAGACCTCAATCATATCTCCCCTTAGTCATCTCTTTTCCAAGCTGAAAAGTCCCAGTCTTATTAATCTCTCCTCATATGGCAGCCATTCTATACCCTAATCATTTTTGTTGCCCTTTTTTGAACCTTTTCCAAGTCCAATATAACTTTTTTGAGATGGGGCGACCAAATCTGCATGCAGTTTTCAAGATGTGGGTGTAGCATGGATTTATATAGAGGCAACATGATATTTTCTGTCTTATTATCTATCCCTTTCTTAATGATTCCCAACATTCTGTTCACTTTTTTGACTGCCACTGCATATTGAGTTGATGTTTTCAGAGAACTATCCACGACTCCAAGATCTCTTTCTTGAGTGGTAACAGCTAATTTAGACCCCATCATTTTATATGTATAGTTGGGATTATGTTTTCCAACATGCATTACTTTGCATTTATCAACATAGAATTTCATCTGCCATTTTGTTGCCCAGTCACCCAGTTTTGAGAGATCCTTTTGTAGCTCTTCGCAATCTGCCTGGGACTTAACTATCTTGAATAGTTTTACATCATCTGCAAATTTCACGGTTTAGCCCTTTTTCTAGATCATTTATGAATATGTTGAATGGGACTTGGCCCAGTACAGACCCCTGGGGGACACCAATATTTACTTCTCTCCATTCTGAAAACAGACCATTTACCACCACAAACATGTGGTGCAATTTTGGTAATCTGTTTAACTTGTTGATAACAGCTGACATTTAAACACTATTCATCTTTCTGGGCAAAGAATCTGTCAGCTACGTTTATTACACTTCATTAAAATGTGAGAGGGGAAAATAATGTCCACAAGCATTATGTTTTCCTGATGGAACACCAATGGTCACTGATTTTATTTAGAATCTACATTTTGCTAGCAAGTAATGCAGCATATAAATAAATAAATACAATTCTTACCCAAATGGAACGCCAAGAGCTCCTAGAGGAGTCACTAACACAGTTGGAACTGCAGTGTAGGCCAAGAAATTCCCAATTTGACCAAGTGCCACTGTTAAGAGAACCACAAAAGAGTTTTTTAAATCCCTTAGTAAATAGGAATAATGAAAAGCTACTCAATGCTGGCTCATAACTACTGACCTGACTGGAAGATGAACATTACTGAACTGTTTAGTTCTGCCCATAACTTTTCAGTTATACAAAAACTAAATTTTCCAGCTGTCTGATTTTTTTAAAATATTTTTAAATAAAGGCTGTTTGCAAAAGAGAAGGCAACAAGAGAGCATCGTCAATAATTCTGCTTATTAATGTTCTCTTCAATAATTTTTCATAATTAAGTAGGGAAGAGAGTCAAGAGACTGAGAATTTGAAACCCTGTCATGGGTTGCACTCAAATTTCCTGATGTAGGGAGGTCTGAATTTAGGCATCCCATGTTCTATATCAGGGGTCGGCAACCTTCGGCACACGGCCCATCAGGGTAATCCGCTGGCGGGCCGCGAGACATTTTGTTTACTTTGACCGTCCGCAGGCACGGTTGCCCACAGCTCCCAGTGGCCGCGGTTCACTGTTCCCGGTCAATGGGAGCTGCGGGAAGTGGTGACCAGAACATCTGCATCTGCCAGAAGATTATCCTGATGGGTCACGTGCTGAAGGTTGACGACCCCTGATCTAGATTCTAGAGCAGGGGTGGGGAAACTTTTTGGGCCGAGGGCCACATCTGGGTGGGGAAATTGTATGCAGGGCTGGGGCAGGGGGTTGGAGTGCGTAAGGGAGTGCAGGGTATGGGAGGGCGTGCGGTGTGCAGGAAGGGGCTCAGGTCAAGGGACTGGGGCAGAGGAGGGGTGCAGGATGCAGCAGGGGGCTCAGGGCAGAGGGTTGAGGTGCAGGAGCGGTGCGGGGTGTATGAGGGGCTCAGGGCAATGGGTTGGGGTGCAGGAGGGGTGCGGGGTACACAAGGGGCCTCAGGGCAAGGAGTTGGAGTGCAGGAGGGGTGTGAGGTGCAGGCAGGGGGCTCAGGGCAGGGAGTTGGGGGGCGGGGTGCAGGGTGCAGGAGGGGTTCGGGTTCCGGCCCAGCACCACTTACCTCAAACAGCTCCAGGGTGGCAGCGGCATGCACCGTGGCCAGTGCAGGCTCCCTGCACGCCTGCCCTGTCCCCGGCCCCGCGCCGCTCCAGGAAGTGCTGCGGCCCCTGGGGGAGGGGGGGCAGAGGGCTCCGCGTGTGCGGCCCTTGCCGCACCTCCAGGTACCTCCCCCGAAGTTCCCATTGGCTGTGGTTCCCCGTTCCCGGCCAATGGGAGCTGCGGGGGGCGGTGCCTGGAGGCAACGGACAGAGCCCTCTGCCCCCCCACCTGAGGGCTGCAGGGACGTGGTGCCGGCAGCGCCGTGGGCCGGATTCAAAGCCCTGAGGCACCCGATTCAGCCCGCGGGCTGTAGTTTGCCCACCCCTGTTCTAAAGCATGAGATATTTGTAATCCCATATAGCTGGCTGTAGTGCCCCACAACAGCACCGGTCTCGCCGAGGGACGTGAGGAAACCACTGAGTGGGTACGGGGAGAGAGGAATATTCAAATATTAAATACTTTGTTAAAAGCTGTTGGATACTAAATTAAAACACAGCTAACAGGACACGTTACAATCTGTGCACTATACAATATTCAGGGGGCAGATCCTCAACCAGCGTAACGCACCATGGAGCTATGACCATTTACACTAGCTGAGAATCTGCCCCTCACAGTCTTGTACTAAAAAATGGAACTCCACATCACTACATAAAATAACTGTGCTTAATATTTCATATATTGAAAATGTCATTAAAAAGCTGCATTATAAAAATATTGACTAGTTTTAGAAATGCCAGCCCAGCTTACCATAAGACAGCTTTCATATTAGTTATTATCAATAATAATAAACAAAAACGTTGAGACTGAATGTGCAGTACAATATACTAGACTAAACTGGAATTTCAAGTTGTGGCCATTACTAGCACTTAAAATCAAATCATTTCAAGAAACCAAGCCTTTCTGCACTCTACTGTCAAATACCATCATCATTATACTACTTCTTTATACTTAACTAATGCTTTACATCTACAAAGCACTATACAAACATTAATTCATTCATCAAATAAGTTCACAGCTCAGTAAAGCTGAGGAACCTCATAAGGAACACTGAGGAAAGAAAACAAATTTACAAGCTATGGAGTAAGGTGGCATTATGCTGACTCAATTCACTGGTGTTACCTGTGCACGTAATACTGAATCTAGTGAGGTAGCCAGCAGTCAGTCAGCCACATCTGTAAAGCCCAAGAGTCAGTCGTGATCTTTTGCATGTTGTCTTTACCTAGGAGTCGGACTGGATTAGAGTCCCTCTAAGCTCTGCTCTTTATTGAGCTCTCTCGTTTGTGTGCATGTTTTTCCAGCAAGCACATATGGCAGCTCTGGCTTGGAGATATTCAGAGTTGAAGGGAAAGACCTTGAACTGAAGAGAGAGTATGCTGGGTACACCATATCCTCCCTTGGACTCCCCACTGCTCAGTTGCTCATATTAAAATTTGCTTTTTCATGGCTCAGATCCCCTGACTTCATGGTTGAGGTGGATTGTCAGAGCCCTAGTAGCTGTACAAAGACAAATACATAAGTATCTCTGAAGTTCTACTCAAGTTATTATTCTTCATTATTTGTATTGTAGTGGCTCCTAGGAGCCCTAGTCATGGAGCCGGAAACCACTGTTAATCACTGTACAAATACAGAACAAAGAGATGGTCTCTGCCCCAAAGAATTTATAATCTAAGTTGAATTAACTCCTCAAACAGCTCAAGAAAGTCAATAATAATCTTAGCCATGTTTCAGTATGCCTGAGCCAACGCCTTTGCTTCCTCTGAGCAGAAAATGATGAGTCCGTTAGTTTTCTACATATGATTCAAGGAGCGGCACTTTGTGACTGAGTGCTGGTCTTCACTACGGTGCTGCAATCAATGCAGCAGGGGTCGATTTAGCAGGTCTAGTGAAGACCAACTAATCAACGGCAGAGTCATCTCCGGTTGACCCCGGTACTCCACTTCTCCAAGAAGAGTAAGGTAAGCCAACTGGAGAGCATCTCCCGTAGACGCAGCGCAGTGAAGACACTGCAGTAAGTCGACCTAAGCTATGTCAACTCCAACTATGTTATTCACATAGCTGGAATAGCATAACGTAGGTTGACATACCCCCAAAGTGAAGACAAGCCCTATGTCCCACTACAGCCAATCTGCTTGTAGTCTGCTTCTTACTTTGGAAACAGCAGCATCATGTTTAAAATGGTTGACTATCTTCTGGCAGACCACATACAGAGGTCTCATCAAGGCTATTTTTAATAAAGTTTCTTTTGCTGGGCAAAGCACTCTGTAACGTTCACATTGCAAACACTGGGAAATGTGTGCAACACTTTCAGCGTTATCTTGGAAAACCACGTTTTCTTGGAAATCTCTCAGTGGCAGGGTGCCATTTATTGAGCACACTCAATGGCATCTTTTTATAGCTGTTACCACTTGCCTGCTGTTAAGAGCCTTGCACTGCAGAACTATCCATTCTTCTATTTATATGTATCCATCTCAGTAGTATTTGAGCTCTTCTTCTTTGAAGTCTGCAGTAATCCTGTGGGTTCCACCACCAAAAAACCCACAGGTGGTGTTTTTCTGGGTCTAGATGTTTGCACTGAAATAGCGGCTCTTATTTAACACTGTCACTTGCAAGTGAATTCACTCTTTTGTATCAGGGAACCAAGTTATTTAAATAAACCTTGTGGGAGGCCAGGGCCGGCTCTGGCTTTTTTGCCGCCCCAGGCAGCCGGAGCCCCGGGGGGAGGGCGGCGAGCTCCGGCGGGGGCTCCGCTCTCCCCCCAGCGGCCGGGGGGAGGGCGCCGGGGAGGAGGGCGACCGGAGCCCTGGGAGGAGGGCGGCGAGCCGCGGTGGGAGCTCCGCTCTCCCCCCGGCGGCCAGAGCACAGGGGGCAGGGCGGCTAGAGGGCGGCGAGCCCCAGCCCGGGCTCGCCGCTCTCCCCCCGGCGCCCGGGGGGCGGGCGCGGGGGGAGGGCGGCCAGAGGGCCGGGGGGAGGGCGGCGAGCCCGGTCGTGGCCCCACTCTCCCTG